TTGATTCATGGTCCAATGCTGAGATTAAGGATGTGAGTGCTACACTCACTCATACCCACCAGAGAGTTGCCTGCATACAATGCAAAGGATGGAAAGAGGCTGGCTCTCGGCTGCTCCTCCCTTTTTGCTCTTATTGCTTTTGCTGTCTTTCACAGCCATGGAATGTTTGTCCCTCTGCCATAGGCCACTCTCCCTTAGAGCCAGCTGAATGTGGACTGCAACTCCCACAAACTGTGAGAAAAATAAATCTTTCCATCGTTAATTCTGAACATCAGGTATTTTGTCTTAGCAGCAAGAGAAAAGTAACTAAGACACTCCATGATCCAGCAATTCTACCCCTAGATGTACACCAAAAACAGCAACAATGAAAGGAAGTGGGGACCAAGATGCACATCTATACAACAATAGCACATAGCAAATTCCAATGAGTTTATGTAGCTTCAGTATGCATAGTAAATATAGATTTAATATTATACCAGATGGAGGCCCCAGTGACATTCATAGAGCTTCCCTTTTCTTACATTTTCACATTTCCAAAATGTGATCAATTCCGGTATCTTTCCCATAGAGTTGCCTCCTGGGGATCACCTCTTTATACAACAGCTAGATAGGACTGAATGCTTGATTCATCTCACTGACCCTGACTCCACATGGATCCCACAGAGAGTTTAGTATGGAGCTCCAAACCCTGCTCTGTCACTGTGAGACTCAACGGAAGGCAGCCCTACTTCCTCTAAACCCAACAAGTGGAATTTCCAAGGGAAAACTTACCCCATACTGAGTGTTACCAGTACTGCTGAGATTTTGACTTCTTTTACAGATAAGCAAGATAAGTTTAAAAAGTTAGATTTTGACTTCTTTTACAGATAAGCAACTTCTCAAAATTTCCTACATTGTCTTGGGGTGCCCTCCCTCCCTGTGCTCCTTACTAAAAATGACCCTCTGTTTTTCCAGTTGATAGTGGCCATTCAATATGAATCCAAGTTGATTGGGTGCTGTCAGGGCATCTGCCCATGCCAACTTGCAGAATAGAGCATATTAGGTTCTGCCCATGGCAAGAAATTCCACAAAACATGCGAGTTACATGTGTGTATGACCTAGAATTGAGGATGCAACTTTGACCCCATGTTTTTGTTCTCCCTTATATTTTTTCCAGCTTTCTTAGTCATAAAAATAAAGGTCTCTTCTGAGTAGCCACCTATCCTCACCTACACAGTGCTGGGCTTCAAGTCTCACGTATGCTTTTCCCTAGATAAGCCTTTACCTTTGGTATCATTAGTGTATCTCCTCCTCAGAGCCTTTTTTTTTTCTTTTTGGTTACCAGCATGATTTTATTTCATGTATTTTTTATTCTGCATATTGCTGTCTTCCAATTAGTTGTTCATATTACCAGATACAAGCATGCAAAATTTGTCCAAAAAAAGTAAAGGAAAAAATAATTTAAGCATTAACCGTTCCTTTCAATAAAAAAAAAAAAAATCAGCAGTACAATTATCCAAGCTATCCTTTTGATGTTTTCGCCCTTCTTTCTTTTTTTATTTCTCCCTTCCCTATATGTGCAAACATGTTTGTAGCAGCACAATGTCTCATAGCTAAATCTTGGAAACAACCAAATTCCCATTAAATGAGGAATGGATAAAAAAAGATGTGGCATTTTTATACAATGGAGTATTACTCAGCCATAAAAAATAAGCTCAAGGCTTTTAAGGATGCAACTAGAGACCATACTCATAAGTGAAATAAAGCAGACCCACATGTGTAAACATTGTCCTGTCCCCCTAGTGTAAGAGTCTGAAAGAGTAATAAACCAGAAATGTACAATAGATACTGTAAATGGGAAGGAAATATCCAAAGGGAAGGGCCTTGTTTATTAAGACCTCAGGGAGCCATCCCAGCCCACATTTCTACCATATGTGACAGCCATTTTGGTTCATCCTGGGGGTCAGCCGTGTAACTGGCCATGTTTCTGTGCCATTTTCTTTTTAAGCTGACATCATGGACATGAGGATATCTCACCCTACAAAATATTTTATAAGGGCTAAAACTTCCACTTTCAGGAAACATGTGGTACCTCCTTTGTTATCTTCTAAATCAGGTTAAAGTCCCTCTTCTGTTTCTTCTCACATAAATTCAGTTAATTTAGAAACACGTGCCTGAGAGCCTACACAGAGCAAAGCGCGCTGCCAGTGAAGGTCAAATCAACTGGCTGTGAGCGTGCGACACAAGGCTGGAGCCAACGGAAAACAGGCCCTGTCGTGTATTGATAACTTTTAAGGTATTTTTTCTCTGAAATGCTAAAAAAGAAGATTCTATCTCTGTTGCCTTAAAGTAATTATCAAGCTTTTATTGTCAGGATAAATGGGAGTAATGCTGTTTCTCAACAGCATGGGGGCTGCAAGTTATGGCAAGGCCTAAGGTAAGGCATAAGAGCCACATGCGTTGCCAGAGATACCTGGCAACACAGATGAGCCTCCTGAGAGATGCTCTGGAAATTCAGTGGATCTGCGTTCTTCAGAGGAGACACAAGACCTAGCTTGTCTCTTCATAGGCCCTATGATGTGCCATGGAAAACATCCTGCAGATCTCAGCCACATCGCTATTAGTCTTCAGCTTTAAAAAGTGGAAACAATTTGATCCTGAAGGAGTCAGTGAGCTCCAAGTGTATGGAGAATTCTAAGGGGGAAACAAAAACTCTGGTGCTGCTCATTTGGCCAGAGGCATCTGCTGGTACAACTGAGTCTCACAGAGGACAATCTAAGGATCTCCTCTGAGAGACATAAGCTCTATAAAGGAAGCTAGCTGGAGTCCTGTGGAAGGGGGCGCTACCCTTGTCTTCAACAACCTACCTTCCATCTCAGCACTGTTTGGGTCCAGTAATAACTAGGAAATGGTGACAGATGGGCACAAAGCGGTAGTCTAAATTATACTATTCTTCATTTAGATCTTTTCTGCAAAAGTCAAGGAAAATGGTGTGAAATCTCTTATATTCAGGCTTTTACAGCTTTTTATCTCTATAAAGGCCCAAGAGCTATGGTACTTAAGGAAGTTTCCCGGGAATAGGAAATTGATATCACTGATGTCCCTGTCATCAGATGTCTCACAGGAATATGAGTCTCTCCCACCTGTTCAATGAAAGCCATCACACTGGGAGTTCTCTTTGAATGTGTTCTCATAATGCTCACACTAACATATCAGTCCCCTCATATACTGTACTCCTTAAATAGACTTTAGCCCCGTAAGACATAGTAAGAGTAGAGTTCCTTAGTTTTCCATCCCAAAGTTAGTCCTAATCCTAAAAGAAGTTCCAGGAGTAGAGGGAACTACTCAAGCCGAGGTTCCTTTATCAGTAGCAGATACCCAACAATGCTGAGTAGTTAGGCAAGTTTTCAGAAGACCCTGATAGGCTTGCAGATGAGCCTCCACACCCCTGTGACCCACCTGCTGGACAGGGCCTTTCCTGTGTTCAACCATCAGGATCTACATAAGAATACAAGGAGAAAGGCAGAGGGCAAAAAAGGCTGAAATTATGGCTGTTACAACTGGCAATATTTTAAGCATACTGTTGTTACTGGGGATTGGCAAGGGGAATAATACAGGACACATAATTTATAGAATTATAATAGTCACCCAAAGAGCTATATACAAAAAGAGTGCAGGAAATCTGTCCATACACTAAAGACCAAAGAATCCAGCTGAGGGCCTGGATCCCTGGTAATGTCCTGCATGAGTCCAGCTGAAGATCTACAGCCCATAACAATGCCCCCATGAATCCAACTGGAGACCTAGATCCCAGAACAATGTCTTGTGCAGGCCTGATTCACACATCTGTGCTGGGAAGGCCTAAAGGGCAGTGGTGGAAGCTAGAAAATCTGTTTCGGTACAATGCAGGATCTATACCTGCAGGCTGAGGGATCTGCACTGGAGCCAGGAAGCAACACTCAAGGTTACCACCAGCATTCCCCTGAAAGGCACCACAGCCATCCTCAGTGACAGTGAGAACAGCTGAGTCTATATCAGGAAGGCTGGCATGACAAGCTTCTCAAAGAGATTGAATAGTGTATCATCTCTGGAACCAGAAAGCAATGTTCAAAGTAAGGACCAGAGTTCCCCCAAAGTGAACTGTAGGCATTCTCAGTGTCAACAAAGTCCTCTGATGAGAACAGCCCAGTTCATCAGGAAAGCCAGCATGACAAGTTCTGTCAGGAGAACTAACAGCTTCCTGACAGCTTCATAACAGCTTCTCTTCTCCAGTTCTTCATTTTATGTCACTGGCAGCAGTAAGTACCACCCTGGTTCAGTGTAGCTCAGTGTTACAAGCTGACCACCAGTTGTCAATCCACCACACACACCTATATTGTCCAAAGGAAACCAAGGCCAATCAGATAAAGTCCCTGGTTAAAATACAAGAAAATGAGATACTGAACCCTCAACTATACCAAGTCACAGCCAGGCCCCTGCTCCATGTATCAGACAGCTGATGTGCCTGGCTCATGGCACTGAAAGACTGACCACTCCCACTCCCACAAAGGAGCTAGGCCAGCAGAGCCCTTACACCCATGCGCTGATGAAAAGGAATGAATGAGCTGGATGCAGTCTGTGCTGTCTCTGTCCATGGACATCTTCATCTCCTATGAGGAACCCCTGGTGACCCTAGACATTACAATTAATTCATTATTTATGGATATAAAAGTGCCTTACTTTGCTTTACTTTTCTTCTCTAAAAAGCGCTCCCTTAAAGCTATAGTCATAATGGGGTCCAAGGGACCCCAGGTCAGAGCTTCTTCACACCTTCTTTGACATGTCAATTTGAAAGTCAAATGTTTAATCATAAGCATTTGATGGTCCCACAGTGTCCCACTCCCTTTTCCTTTACTAGCAGGTTTACTAGTAAAACTGGATAGTCTATCTTCCCAGACAGGTCACTGCCTTTCACTGTAAGGGACACCAAAGAGACATGTATACAGGAAAAGGCTGTAAAAAGGCAAGAAGGACAGCCTTGAGGTCTCCTCCCCTTGGGCTGCTAGAGACCCAGTTGCTTCTCAGCAGTGCTGGAGGCCAAGATCAGCCCTGAAGGAGCACTGTCAGGGCTTCTGCCAGTGGTCAGACCCATTTTCCTGTCTCCAACTGTGTGGTGACTGGGAGCTCGGAGTTCTGAGCTAGACCAAAGCTTTAAGTAGAGCCCCTGGCCTAATCTGCCCCCAGCAGGCACCGTCAAAGGTCGTGGCCATGTGCACCAGACATGTGGTAAGTAAGGTTTGCTCCCCTCTCCACCTGCTATGCAGGCACCTCAGGGCCTGGTTCATGGTACAAGAAGGGGCCAAACAGACAGGACTTATGGGAAGGGATGGCAGAGCAATGAAGGAAGGGCATCCCAAACCACCCATCTCAAAGGAAGCCACCCTTCTCCCTGTAGGAATTAAGGGGTCACCACATGGGCAGTTGTCTGTCATCACAGCTTTGTCTTGACACAGGGTTCCACACAGGGTCAGGTAGGAGATGCAGAGAAGAGCCAAGAGGGGGGTGCTGAGAAGATGGTATGTTAGGCACAGGGCAGGAAGCCCAGCCTGCCATGCAGAACACAGCCCTGCCACCCATGCCAGATCTGATATCCAGTACACTGTCCTGGCACCCAGAACAGGGATCCGACACTCAGAACAATGACCTGACAGCCAGTACCCCTGTGTCAGCTCAGGCCCTGGTTTCAGCCTATGCTGGCCTCTACTATGTTCTCTGGATGATTGAACATGCAGTATTTTGAAAAGAGTTCTATAGTTAAAAGAATATTTTTTCTAAAACTGTTTCCTGAACTTGGTTATTTTACTGTAAAACAAAAACAATGAAATACATTGGAGGCAGGGTATGTGGGAGGGAGGGAGGGAGGGAGGGAGGGAGAGAGAGAGAGAGAGAGAGACAGAGACAGAGAGACAGAGAGACAGAGAGACAGAGAGACTGAGACCAAGACCAAGACTGACAGAAACAGAGAGAGGCCTTACTGTCACTCAAGGCCCTGCCTGCCCTTATTCCCAAATCCTAAGGAACCCGTCTTGAACCCTTAGGAAGATAAATGGACCTTAGGACAAGAAGGAATTAAAAAGAGACTTTGGAAATATTTAGAAAACAAACTGCACCCTCCCTGGGTAGACAGTGAAAAGCTGTAGAATGATTCTTTCCATATGGGAAGATGGTCCACCTGGGCAATGGTCACTTGAATTTTCATAGGACCAGGACTAGAGGCCACCACCTGACAGGTGTGCAAAGCTTGCCCACTCTATGCCTCTAATAACCCAACTCAGACCACCTCCTTTGTTAGGACCTGTACAGAGGAGAGGAACAAACCTGAGGAAAGCCTGGTAAATTAGACCTCACCCTCAACCACCATGTGGGACATTTGAGCAGATACTGGTACTCACTGATGCCTTTCCAAGCTGGCTTCCAGGTTGCTGATCTGGCAGACTATGCTAGCATAAAAATGATTTCTATATTTGGGGTTGAGATCTGCTGCCCACCCTAGTGTGGTTTCTTTGAGGATGGAGGTCTGTGGGGGGAAGTAGGGCTGACAGACAAAAAGAGCACCGGCTGTTCACCGGTGAAAAAAAGACTAATTGGTAGGTGAAAGAGAATTTCCCAATATTATTATGTCCTGGGAGAAGAGGGAAAAATGTAACTGGACTCCAGTAACTTTGGTGTCCTAAAGTTACTTCCACATAGGTGAGGACCTGAAATAGGTCATAGAGACAGAAAGTGGAAGAGGTTAAATGGACTGAGAGTAAGGGGAAGTGAGTCTCCTATGCCCATACTCTTAAGCTATCTTGTGCAACTACCATCCCCATACTATTGTCTTCTCAACAGTGTTTTTGTGCTACTCAGTATTTCACCTTCAGATTCACTCTAGTATCAATTTAAATGGATCTGAAGAACACCAAGTGAATTGTAATCTAGATCAGCTTGAAACACTGAACCTTCAATACAATTAGCAACTTTTTAAGCCTATGCTAACGATGCTGGAAGTAGATCTGTCCAAAGTTCACTTACTACCATTTTAGAAAGTAGAAGGGTTCTTTGAAAAAAGGCTATTTCTACAGTTGAGGAAATGAAAGGAGATAGAACATTCTACTGCAATAAGGAAATATGAAGGGGCTCAAAAAATGATACGATCAAATCAAAAGGATGATGGAGCCTTCTAGAAGGGGTTCACTGGCCAAATCTAGGATAATCTGAGCATCAGCATGGATAATGATTGCAGTGGGTTAAGCACTTAGCTGCTTCAGCTATATTTAATTATATTCATTTTCCTGTTCTCACTACCTTCCATCACTTCTCTCCTCCTTGTTTCTCTGCTTTTAAACTATATGCAAGGCCACAATATTCATCCATTTTTCCTCTGCATCTGGATGGTGCATCTGCTGTAGATGGGCTTTCTCTACATTAATTTTTTAAACCCATCTTTTAGTTTTATACATTGGTGTGAAACATGATTTCTCTCTCTCTCTCTCTCTCTCTCTCTCTCTCTCTCTCTCACACACACACACACACACACACACACACACACACATGTTCTTTTGGTGGCCACCTCAGCCTGCCCTGGGGGCGAGGCTGGCACAGCATGTGGTACCAAGGATTGAAGGCAGTCCCTGAGCTTGCCTAAGCTTGCCTAAGCAGGCATTTTAGATCACTGAGCTATCTAACCGGCCCAGAAAAATGAGCTCTTAACGGAATTAGATTTCATGATACTGAAATCAATCTGGCACTATATTAGGTTGACACATAAAATTAGTATCTTTATAGGTAAAACAGGTGGATATTAGAAACTTCAAATGACTGAACAACATGGTCCATTCATGATCATATGAATTTTACATTGTATCTTAGGGGTAAAGTAACACAAACAGTACAATTGCATCTGTTAAAATATTCCACTCAGCTCACCTAAACCTGAGAAGTGCCTCAGGGCCAAAACTCAAAATCCTTATTTGAAGGCCTACTGCCAGGAGGTAGAGATAAGATACATTTGTGCCAGATCCTCCTGCATGGCCTACAGTGACCTTTCTTCACTTGGAGCTCATGGCTGTTTCATGCATATGACTGCAACTCTTACACTGAACTCTAACGGAGTGAATTATGGGAAAAGACATACAATATGTACATCTGACATGACTCAGCACTCTGTCAATCACACTGCTAGCCATGATCTGCAAAACCCAAATAAGGCACCCTGTATTCATGACATTGTTTTAGGTTCCTAAGCTCAACACATTTAAAGCTCATGCCAGAACCAGTCAGATAACTCAGTGGACTGCGAGTGAGACTGGGCGTGGTGGTGCATGCCTGCAATCCCAGCGCTTGGGAGGCTGAAAACAAGAGGATCACTATGAGTCCAATCTGTGAGACCTTATAGATCCTTTACTAAAAAATAAAGTAAAATAAAATAAAAATAAATAAAGCTCATGCCATTTTCCTTTCTGCTGGGGAAAGCCTACTCACACTAACCATACCATTAATGAATTAAATTTTCCTCACTGCCTTGTTCCATGGCCATTTCTTTGCTTGGTGTACACAGCCTGTCTGGGGACCCATCATCCACTACAACAAAACTTGATAGATTACTTTCTTCTTTCATCCTCTGTTCCTTTCATTTCCTGGGAAGCTCAGTGCAGAAGAGGCCCAGGGTTAGAACTCAGGACTCCCTGGGTCCCTATCTGATGCCATTTACACATCCCAGGAACACTGTGGAGAGTGTCATGGTGAAGAGAGGAGTTAAGAGACTTCAACAAGTTGAAAGGAAGTACCCTATAATTGTTCAGCCACTCACTACGCATTAGTAACTACTACCTACTAGTTACCACAGTTAGGGGGGAAAGCCTCCTTTATTAACGGAAACTGGTGCTGTAGTAAAAGCACAACTTCTAGATTTTATATTTCCAATAATGACTTATTAAGTCATAGATGTCTTTTCCCTCTAATTCAATAAAAATGCACACTTCAGTTGTTTTATATGAGTTCTTTTTCTTTTACACATTACATAGAATTTTGTAGGTGATTGTGAATACTAAATGTTTGCTCACAAACATATAGACTCCAAGTGTGACTCTTTGGAGAGTTGATAAGAAAATGTTTTAAATGCCTCAGCCTTCTGCTGCCAATTATACCAATGCTAAATTTAGTTGGATTTTGGTTTGTCCTCATCTGCACAATGATGATAATCTCTAATTTGGACTTTCCAATATAAGCATTGTTATGAAATCGTCTGTAGTCTAAGATTGCTTAGAAAAGGCAAAAATAACTTTAATTCTTGCAAATCTGAACAACAATATGCAGCATAAAAAGAATAAAAAGCTCATTGCATAACACAGTAGAACAAAACTTCCTTCCATGGAGTTGTCTAGCCCTGAAAATAATTGTACTTTATTCAAGTATGGATTTTTAAGGAACTGTAACACCAAATAAAACTTACATCAGCAATTCTGCTTTGGAAGGGCTGGCCAAATAGCTCAGCAGATTAAAGCACCTGCAAGCAGGCACAAGGGCCGGGGGTTCAATCCCCAGGGCCTGCTATGCTGGCCCCACCCTGGGGGTGTGCTAAAACAGCAATTGAGAGAGGATGTGGTGGCATGGACCTGTAATCCCAGCTCTTGGGAGGCTGCAAACAGGCAGATCACAAGGGTCTGATCTAGGAGTCAGACCCTGAACACCCTGTTGACCCTTCCCTAAAATACAAAAAATACAAAAATAAATAAAGAAAAATAAAAAAAGAAAGAAAAGAAACTGAATCCAAATGTGACCCTATTTCAAAAAAAGAAAAATTCTGCTTTAGCCTATTCCAGGGGCTTAGAAAGTAGGCAAGATATTTACAAAATAAGTCACATTTTCACTATCAAGAGAGTACACCTTTTGGTTATACAAGGTAATCATTTCTAACCTGCAAACTAAAATGCTTTGAAACTTAGTTTTAGATTACAAAATATTTAAGATTTTGAATTCAGACTGAAAATGTTTATCTGGTGAAGTCTATGCAAATAGTCCAAACTCCAAATAACTACAAATCTGAAACACTTCAGGTCCCAAGTATTTCAGATAAGGGATCTTCAAGTTGAATTTGGTTCATTTAATCACCTGAATATTTAATTCACTACTGCCCTTTTTAGGACAAAATTCAACCAAAAGTTACAAACTTCTTTTCTGCAGTTCCCGTGGAGGCCACAGCATCCTGAACAAATGCCTAAGTCTTCCCCATGTCAAGAATGCTTCACACCTGTATGCCTAAGCTCATGAACATGCTCCCATGTAGCCAATGACTGCTGTCAGTTACCAAAATAGCACTTTCTGGCCAGGTAGGGTGGTGAATGCCTATAATCCCAGCATTCAAGAGGCTCAGAAAGGAGGCTTGCTGTGGGCTTGAGGTCAGCCTGAGTTCAAAGCCAGCCTGAACTACGAAGCAAGACCCTGTCTCAAAAACAAGCAAACAAACAACAACAACAAAAAATGAATAAGCATTTCCAATCTCTCATATAAAATGAAATTACTCTTCTTTTCAGACTTGATACTACATTTTAATCTCCTATCTCTGGCTGTATCTTATGCTATATCCAAATCTTCACTGGTTGCCAGGGAGATAGATCAGTGGAATAAGTGTTTGTCTGGTAAATTTAAGGTCCTGAATTCAATCCCTGGTACCACAAAAAAGCAAACAAATAACAAATCTTCACTAAATATTTTGATCTTTGCTGTCTTAACATCACTAATTTACTTAAAAGCCAAGGTACACACATAAAATTGAGAGTTATATGTTTTATGTCTCAAGAAGTTACAAAAAGAATTTGTTACAAATGATGAAATAGTTGTATAATTAAGCATAAAGTCAGCAAGATAAGCCAATCTAATGTTTTGGAGATGTAGAATATGGTAAGCCTTGTTTCCTGGTCTTTTCCTCCCAAGCATATGAAAATTATCAGGTATTGTTTTCCTATGTCCTTCTATACTCCAATTCTCTTCCATCTCTGTACTTGAGAGATGGAAGGTACAAATCCAATAAATATTTGTCTTTCATACCTGAAAGAATCTTTAATAATCTTGAATATTTAGCAGCTCATAATCGTTTCCATGTTTTAAAACTTTTTAGAAGTACTTCTGTTTATCAGACTTTACAATTGCATAGATTATAGGCCCAAGCTACTTAGTGTGACAACTTGATTTCAACAAGTAATTACACATTATATAATTACTTATATGTAGTATCATTCTTATAGGTAATAAGAATCAACCTCTATGCATACTGTAAAATGCATTAAAAATTGTCCCATTATGCAATTATAGACACTAAAATAATGGAAATCTAGGTCATTGTTTCTAGACTTCTATAAACAACCTAATTCCTTAGAAGCTGCATCAAGTGTTCAGTTTACGAGATGAGTCATGTTTGTTTGAGAATGAAAATCAGCATAGCTGAGGAACAGTGAGCGAGGAAAAAAAGGTATCAGATGAGGCTACAGTGGTAAGAAAGCAGCACACTGCCTTTAACATCTGAAACCATGTGATGAGTTTCATTATACAAATACTGAAGGGTCATCAGGAAGAGAGAGGTCAGATTCGACAGTTTTATAAGACCTCTCTGGTGATTGAGTAGAAAACAAATAAGAAAGCAGAAATTTTAGGAGGACTATGGCAGTAGTTGCTATTCAGTTTATTGATACTAGTTTTCAGAAGAGTAATGTCTTTCTAGAATTTTTATTCCCTTTAAGTGATTCTATGACATGATTAACTATCTGCCTCATAGTTGTATGAACAAGATTAAATACTACATATATACATGCCATTTATACAGGCATAATAAACATTCAGTTTTTATACTCTTGCTTGTCTTCTAATATTAACTGCTATGTGTAACTCTATTGCCAAATTATAAAAAGCAAATAAGGTGCATGACCCTATGGAAAAATGAAAGTCAATTATTTTAGTCTTTTTGGGTTGCTATGACAAAATTCCTGAGATCAGACACTTTATAAGAACATAAATTGACTTTTCACAGTTCTGAAAGCCAGTAAAACCAAGATCAATGTTCTAACATCTGGGAGTATGCTGTGGGCTTTCGTAGTGAATCTTCATGTGACAGAGAATAGAGGGCAAAAGGGACCAAATTCTCCAACCTCTTTTATAGTTTCTTTAAGTCACTTATGAGGAAGCTGTGGAAACCTAAACTATTTCCCAGAGGCACTGTTACATTAAGCATGATTACAGTGAGGATCAAGTTCATAGCATAAGTTTGGAGGGGCAGATTCAGACTATAGCACAGATTAGATCTAAATGTACTGCCATTTTAAACAGAAACAGAGAATGTAACTTAAGGATCGAATATTGAGAATACTTGGTCTACACATTGAATAAGGGAGGAGGATTAGACAACGAAGAAAGGAGGGAACACTCCAAATCATACGTGGCTTTAGAAGCCATTGTAAGGATTTTAGCTTTCTTTATAAACAAAATGGGGAACCTTCTTCCAAAGAGGAGTGACATGGTCAGTCTAACTTTGGTGTTAAAACTGGCTGATATTCTTAAAATAGGTGGATTTTAAGGGGCAAACATGAAAAAACAGAGGCTAATAAAAGAATCTATAATAGTCCAGAAGAGTGATCCTACTAAATCCAAGGTAGTGGCAGCAATCATAGTGGAAACTGGCTAGATTCTTGCTCAATTCTGAAAGATTTTCTGATGATTATATGAGAAGGAATGGTATCAGGAATGACTCTAGACTTCTCATCTGAGTAAATGGAAGGACAGAGCAGCTATCAACAGAGATTTAGAGACTAAATTAGATGTAAAAATCAGCTTCTTCACTAGAAACATAATAGGGAATTCTGTTGGGCCATCTGTGAAAGTATCGGGTAGACAGTAGGAGTGAGTTGGAATTGGGGGAAAGGTCTGGAAAGGTAAGTGCAGCAGCTATTGGCCTATAAACGGCAGTATTTAAAACTCTGAGGTTAGGTGTGAGAATGTACACTAAGCAAAACTGTGAGGAGTCAAAAGCACTCAAGTATTAAGGTTGGGGAGAAGATGAACAATCACAAAAAGGGCTGAAGTGAAACAGCAAATGAGGTAAGAGGAAAAAGACTATGGTACCCTGACAACCCCACATTCTCTAATTTCTACTCATCTTTCAGATCCCCGAATCTCCACATCTTCTCTCCTAAATTTGGTCAGTTGTCTTTCCTAAGTGTCCCACAAAATTATTTTCTCAATAATTTTAGCTTTTCAGCTTATCTTCCTTTAATATAAACTTCCTGAGACAAGGAATCAAATTTTTCTTACTGATGGACTAAAAATTCCAAGTTGTTATGTTTAGTACATAATAACTGCTGAGCACAAGGTGGGTGAACTGAATCAGTAAGATCAGCACTTTTCTGATTACAGATGGTGATACTAGTGTGATAATTAGTCTTTTATGGTTACCAAGGCAACAGTACCACGCATACATTTATTTCATTATATTTATTTTTCATTCTCTGTATTTTTCTTCATACTTGGTTTTCCACAGGGAGTTTTCTAGCTTTAATTAGTTGCTATGTCTCATAGTTTTGATTTGGATAAAGAGGGAGAAAGGAGAAATACCAAATACACCATGCATATGTCACATTAAGAATCTTATTCACAAAATTGGGAAGGAAAGTATAATAAATTCTATTTTATAGGCAGAAATTGGGCTTTAGAAATGATAAGCAGAAAAAGGAAAAGAAAGTAAGCAAGGGTAGGGAGTGTGGCTCAGCGGCAGAGCTCTCATTTTTTTTTTTAATACACAAGTCTGCTTTATTTCACTTATGAATATGGTCTCAAGTTGGATCCATTGACCTATGTAAGTCTCATGTTTATCTTTCTTTATGACTGAATAAAAATACCACATCCTTTTATTCATTCTGCAGATGACAAGCATTTAGGTTGTTTCCAACATTTAACTATTACCAAGTGTGCTAGTATAGACATAGGTACACATATATTACTGTGGTGTGAAGTTTCACATTCTTCTGGGAAGCCACCAGAAAAGGAGTTGCTTGTTCGAATGGTACCTCTAGTCCTAGTTTTTTTTTTTTTTCAAAATTTTATTGATAAACAGATAGCAATGCAGAGCTCTCATCTTGATGCTCAGTACCACACACACACACACACACACACACACACACACACACACACAGAAGTGATAAGCCGTAAGCAGCTTAAGGTCATACAGATGGCAATAGGACTCCAATCTCTGTGTGGCTCTTGTGTGTGCAGGTGTGAGGACTTTGTAAGGCATGTGGTGTGTGAGTGTGAGCCATATAGTATATTTACACATGCATAGAACATTCCTAAAGCAAAATAAAACAAAAATGCAATTATTTAAAACATATATTTGGGTTACTTACAGGAAAGTACAATAGCAGAGACCCAAAAAGGATTGTTTCCAGCAGGATAAGGCCTGATGCTCTGATGCTCTAAAAGACAAAATGGAAAATGTCATTGTCAACTTACATTTCTAGGCATAAAAGAATCTATGTTCTTGTGGAAATTTCTCAACCATTATAAAATGTTCAGTAGGAGAAATTAAGGGAATAAATAACAAATGGCTTGAGTTCAAGGGAGTGAACAATTGAGACGTATACAAAGCTGAGCTATGAGAGTGATGTTATGGGCTGGCCAAATAGCTTAGTGGATTAAAGCGCCTGCAAGCAGGCACAGGGTCCAGGGGTTTGATCCCTTCACCTGCCATGCTGGCCCTGACCCCAGGGTGGGCTGAGATGGCAATTGAGTCTGGGCATGGTGGTGTGTGCCTATAATCCCAGCTCTTGGGAGGCTGTAAACAGGCGGATCAAGATGAGTCCAGTCTAATAGTGAGACCCTGAACACCCTGTAGACCCTTCCCCCCACCCCACCCCCCCAAAAAAAGTGATAATAGACTTTGTGTTAGAGCCAGGACCTTGATGAGATCTTAGTCTGTAAAATTTTGAATCACTTAAGAGTTTGAGCACCTTAAAATACTACCTTGAAGATTCTCTCAATCCAAGAAATTAACATACATTGAAGATCTTGTCTGTATTTCTGGGACATCAACAACAACTGCCTATTGAATGCTACACATAAACCATTTCACAAATACAGAAGAGCTTTTGTGGATAAAACAAGCATATTCATAAGGTCTTGGAGTCTTTATGCTGCATTTCTCACCATGCTAAAATATGTAAGTAATTTTGCACACTCATTAGTACAGCTTCAGTATGTGAATTTGAATCACATTAAATAATAGAGTGTCTCTGAGCTGGGCGTAGTGGCACATGCCTATGATCCCAGCACTCTGGAGGCTGAGGCAGGACGGTCCTTGTGAGTTCAAGACCAGCCTGGGCCACAAAGTGGACCGACCTGCAATAGCAAGACTCTGTCTCAAATAATAATAATAATAATAATAATAATAATAATAATAATAATGAGAGAATCCAGTGCATAGTGTGGCACTGAGGGGGAATGTCGCCTAGTGCTCCTCATGAACCTGGAGGACCTATACAACAGCATTTATGGACATTGGTAACCTCCTCATGACCAATGTCTGCTTGGAAGGGTCATATTTGGAAAACACAGCAACTAATGCAGCCCAGCTCTTGTTTAAGAGAAACACTGGGCTGGAGAGATGGCTCAGTGGTCTAAAGCACCTACTTGGAACAAGCTTGGCAAAGCACAGGGACCGCGGTTCGATCCCCCAGCACCAC